CTCTACATAGTAACACCATCCCTGTTACAGTTAATAAACCCCCTACATAGTAACACCATCCCTGTTACAGATATAAACCCCCTACATAGTAACACCATCCCTGTTACAGTTTATAAACCCTCTACATAGTAACACCATCCCTGTTACAGTTTATAAACCCTCTACATAGTAACACCATCCCTGTTACAGTTAATAAACCCCCTACATAGTAACACCATCCCTGTTACAGATATAAACCCCCTACACAGTAACACCATCCCTGTTACAGATATAAACCCTCTACATAGTAACATCATCCCTGTTACAGTTTATAAACCCTCTACATAGTAACACCATCCCTGTTACAGTTAATAAACCCCCTACATAGTAACACCATCCCTCTTACAGTTTATAAACCCTCTACATAGTAACACCATCCCTCTTACAGTTTATAAACCCCCTACATAGTAACACCATCCCTGTTACAGTTTATATACCCCTAAATAGTAACACCATCCCTGTTACCGTTTATAAACTCTCTACATAGTAACAACATCCCTGTTACAGATATAACCCTCTACATAGTAACACCATCCCTGTTACAGTTTACATATCCCCCTACATAGTAACACCATCCCTCTTACAGATATAAACCCCCTACATAGTAACACCATCCCTGTTACAGATATAAACCCCCTACATAGTAACACCATCCCTGTTACAGTTTATAAACCCTCTACATAGTAACACCATCCCTGTTACAGTTTATAAACCCTCTACATAGTAACACCATCCCTGTTACAGTTAATAAACCCCCTACATAGTAACAACATCCCTGTTACAGATATAAACCCCCTACATAGTAACACCATCCCTGTTACAGATATAAACCCTCTACATAGTAACATCATCCCTGTTACAGTTTATAAACCCTCTACATAGTAACACCATCCCTGTTACAGTTAATAAACCCCCTACATAGTAACACCATCCTTCTTACAGTTTATAAACCCTCTACATAGTAACACCATCCCTCTTACAGTTTATAAACCCCCTACATAGTAACACCATCCCTGTTACAGTTTATATACCCCCTACATAGTAACACCATCCCTGTTACAGTTTATAAACCCCCTACATAGTAACACCATCCCTGATACAGTTTATATATCCCCCTACATAGTAACACCATCCCTGTTACAGTTTATAAACCCCCTACATAGTAACACCATCCCTGTTACAGTTTATATATCCCCCTACATAGTAACACCATCCCTGTTACAGTTAATATATCCCCCTACATAGTAACACCATCCCTGTTACAGTTTATATATCCCCCTACATAGTAACACCATTCCTGTTACAGTTTATATATCCCCTTACATAGTAACACCATCCCTGTTACAGTTTATATATCCCCCTACATAGTAACACCATCCCTGTTACAGTTTATATATCCCCCTACATAGTAACACCATCCCTGTTAAAGTTTATATATCCCCCTACATAGTAACACCATCCCTGTTACAGTTTATAAACCCCTACATAGTAACATCATCCCTGTTACAGTTTATATATCCCCCTACATAGTAACACCATCCCTGTTACAGTTTATATATCCCCCTACATAGTAACACCATCCCTGTTACAGATATTATCCCCCTACACAGTAACACCATCCCTGTTACAGTTTATATATCCCCCTACATAGTAACACCATCCCTGTTACAGTTTATATATCCCCCTACATAGTAACACCATCCCTGTTAAAGTTTATATATCCCCCTACATAGTAACACCATCCCTGTTACAGTTTATATATCCCCCTACATAGTAACACCATCCCTGTTACAGTTTATATATCCCCCTACATAGTAACACCCTCCCTCTTACAGATATTATCCCCCTACACAGTAACACCATCCCAGTTACAGTTTATATATCCCACTACATACCTTTCTGGTCACAGTATAAAATCTACCAACCTTATTGAAAATCAAATCACAATAAAAGTAGTAAAGCTGACAGTTGTTAATAGATAACCATCCTCCTAATATAAGTCCCCAACATTGACTTCCTCACCAAATCTCATACCAGAGCAAGTGTTCTTTATACATAAAAAATGTCAGTGTTGGAAAAACTATCAATAGCTTGCCTCAGTTAAAATCTACCAGTCATAGCAACACAATATATATCAATGTCATGTTTGGGTTCTGAAGGAAGAAAATTACTTTGCAAACTTTCAGTTCACATATCAAGAAAACAATCTACAGGCAATGTTTTCAGAGATTTGTATGAAAATGCCCATAATGTAGTTTTAGTGAAGATCCTGAAGCTGACAACAAGTTCTTGATGAAGTAACAAATGTCATGTGATATCATAGAACACCTGCTCCTGGTACTGTACATATAGCAACAGTTAGAATTCCACCGTAACAAAGCCTTTAGTTCAGAAGCAAACATTTATAACCTCTTTACCAGTGTCATGTCATACTAACCATCAGGTCCAAGTCTCCGTTCAGCTAAAATCCACATCACAGGGTTATTAGGGCAACTGAGGTATATCATACTGGGGTATAACTGGGTATCCAGTGATAGTAAAGGGGTCAAGGTCATATCTATCAACATGTGCTACTGTTGGTATCCAAGTGAGTGTGTGTATGTAGAAGTATCAGGGGTGTGAGTGTGTGTATGTAGAAGTATCAGGGGTGTGCATGTGTGTATGTAGAAGTATCAGGGGTGTGAGTGTGTGTATGTAGAAGCATCAGGGGTGTGAGTGTGTGTATATAGAAGTATCAGGGGTGTGAGTGTGTGTATGTAGAAGTATCAGCGGTGTGAGTGTGTGTATGTAGAAGTATCAGGGGTGCGAGTGTGTGTATGTAGAAGTATCAGGGGTGTGAGTGTTTGTATGTAGAAGTATCAGGGGTGTATGTGTTTATGTAGAAGTATCAGGGGTGCGAGTGTGTGTATGTAGAAGTATCAGGGGTGTGAGTGTGTGTATGTAGAAGTATCAGGGGTGTGAGTGTGTGTATGTAGAAGTATCAGGGGTGTGAGTGTGTGTATGTAGAAGTATCAGGGGTGTGAGTGTTTGTATGTAGAAGTATCAGGGGTGTATGTGTTTATGTAGAAGTATCAGGGGTGCGAGTGTGTGTATGTAGAAGTATCAGGGGTGTGCATGTGTGTATGTAGAAGTATCAGGGGTGTGAGTGTGTGTATGTAGAAGTATCAGGGGTGTGAGTGTGTGTATATAGAAGTATCAGGGGTGTGAGTGTGTGTATGTAGAAGTATCAGCGGTGTGAGTGTGTGTATGTAGAAGTATCAGGGGTGCGAGTGTGTGTATGTAGAAGTATCAGGGGTGTGAGTGTTTGTATGTAGAAGTATCAGGGGTGTGAGTGTGTGTATGTAGAAGTATCAGGGGTGTGAGTGTGTGTATGTAGAAGTATCAGGGGTGTGAGTGTGTGTATGTAGAAGTATCAGGGGTGTGAGTGTGTGTATGTAGAAGTATCAGGGGTGTGAGTGTGTGCATGTAGAAGTATCAGGGGTGTGAGTGTGTGTATGTAGAAGTATCAGGGGTGTATGTGTTTATGTAGAAGTATCAGGGGTGTGAGTGTGTATGTAAGTATCAGGGCAATCTTTCATACTGATAAGGAGAGAGATTCAGTAATCAATAGTTGTAAAAAAAAACAACATAAGGTATTTATTTTCCCAGTTTTACCTTCATTTTAGGATAATTCCATGGCAACATTTTACAATTAAATAATGATGCAAATATGAATGGGATGTGCCAGACAGAGGCCTATAGACAATAATGCAATGATGAATTAGTATATAAAGCCTGCTGACAAATGCTATCATGCTATCATATCCTTGTAATGATCCTGAATGTCATATAAAGAGCATTATAAAGAACCAATGATAGGATGGTCAGGGTTGATTGTGAGGACTAACCGCATGAAAGATGATGACCAGTAACTAGTGAGGACTGACCACATGAAGGATGACGACCAGTAACTAGTGATAACTGACCTCTAGAAGGAGGATGACCAGTAACTAGTGATAACTGACCTCTAGAAGGAGGATGACCAGTAACTAGTGACGACTGACCTCTAGAAGGAGGATGACCAGTAACTAGTGAGGACTGACCTCATGAAGGATGATGACCAGTAACTAGTGAGGACTGACTTCTAGAAGGAGGATGACCAGTAACTAGTGAGGACTGACCTCATGAAGGATGATGACCCGAAACTAGTGAGGACTGACCTCATGAAGGATGATGACCAGTAACTAGTGAGGACTGATCTCATGAAGGATGATGACCAGAAACTAGTGAGGACTGACCTCTAGAATGATGATGACCCGAAACTAGTGAGGACTGACCTCTAGAAGGAGGATGACCAGTAACTAGTGACGACTGACCTCATGAAGGATGATGACCAGTAACTAGTGAGGACTGACCTCATGAAGGATGATGACCAGTAACTAGTGAGGACTGACCTCTAGAAGGAGGATGACCAGTAACTAGTGAGGACTGATCTCATGAAGGATGATGACCCGAAACTAGTGAGGACTGACCTCATGAAGGTTGATGACCAGTAACTAGTGAGGACTTACCTCTAGAAGGATGATGACCAGTACCTAGTAAGGACTGTCCTCTAAAAGGTTGATGACCAGTAACTAGTGAGGACTGACCTATAGAAGGATGACGACCAGTTTCTAGTGAGGACTTACCTCTAGAAGGATGATGACCAGTAACTAGTGTTGACTGACCTATAGAAGGATGATGACCAGTTTCTAGTGAGGACCGACCCCTAGCAGGATGACCACCAGTTTCTAGTGAGGACTGACCCCTAGCAGGATGACCACCAGTTTCTAGTGAGGACTGACCCCTAGCAGGATGACCACCAGTTTCTAGTGAGGACTGACCCCTAGCAGGATGACCACCAGTTTCTAGTGAGGACTGACCCCTAGCAGGATGATGGCTGTTATGTAGTGAGTTATTTACCTTTACATGTGACAACTTACCTTTGCTATAGAGGATTGGGATGTGATCAGTCGACAATTTAGCCTTGCTCTTGACCCCAACCAACAGGGGACTGCCTCGTCTACAAATACATAGAAATAATAGATCAGCTTCTGAAACAAAGAATGCTCTGACTGATTTCAAGTCTTCTGAGATTTATTAGGAACAGAAATACACTAGACCTCTCATCCTAATGATAACTAATTTATCCATCTGCATATGCAATTCTTTATTTATCAACTCCTTCAGTTTCAGTTCCAGTGACCTAAACAGTTTCTGTTTGATCTTGAATTTCCCTAGACATGTTCCATTCTTTTGTCCCGTTTCCTATAATTTAAACATTATTCAATGCCCTCATATATCAATATTCAGCATTATGCTGATAATATTTCAATATTGACCAATCAAAAGCCTTCATTATATTCTGAAAAACTTGAGGTGTCAAATTATACGCTCGGAAAAGTTTTACCAACTTTCATTCAAATTGATCAAAAGACTGATGAGCTATGGGCCATTACAAGAAACATGAGTATAGCAAATTGGATACTCGGTGAACCAAAATTTCTCCTGAAAGAGAAAAATCTGTATGTAATTGGTTAATGAATTTATGAGTTTTTCAGAGACATTTTTTTTCTACAGATAAAAGGACAGGCTGAAAAGCTGATTACAGTGCAAATTTTGTTAAGTACTTACTATATACATGTTTATAGGTATGATCTGTCAACAAATGTGACACTTGAGAGCAACATCAACATATTCACTACATTGTAATAAACATTAACAACTCCTAACTTAATTATGTCAAGAGTTTTCACAAACAATGAAACAAGAGTAAATATTAATGTTGATAGCGAGGAGCTGCTGATTATGATAATAAAGTATAGCAAACACACACAACACTTAACGGCTGTCTCTACATAAACAGGAATCACACATAATCAAACAATACATTACACATATCCACACACTATCATAATAGGAAAGAGTAATGAAAAACATCATCTCCCTGCTGGAGTTCAAACTAGCAACCTTTCGTTGTCTAGCCAGACACTCTATCAATGGACTAAAAGAAATTCCCACCAGCTAGTAAGGCAACATGAACTCTCCCCTTTTACTCTACACACAAACACATTCTCACAAAATTACACACAACTGCACACTGTACACAACTGTAATCTACCACACAGTACACTTGAGCCCACTTCACAGTACATAACTATGACCTTGACCCCTCAAATATGACCCCTGCTCTACGGTACTGTACTATGACCATGACCCTGTCTTAAGATTCTACACTGACTCCGATCGCTGCCATTCAGTACTACACTATGACCCTTACCCCTAATCTATAGTATGACATGTGACCATGACCACTGACCTACCGTACTATACTATGACCTTTAACCCTAAAAAACAGTACTACCATGCTACACTATAACCCTGACCACTGACCTACAGTACTACACTATGACACTGACCCCTGACCTTCAATACAACACTATGAACCTGACCTAAGCTGGCCTACAATAATACACAACGACCATGACCCCTGCCCTAAAAATCTACTACACTATGACCCTGCTCTCCATAACTATACTTTATTTCCCTGACCAACAGTACTACACTATGACCCTGCTCTCCATAACTATGCTTTATTTCCCTGACCAACAGTACTACACTATGACCCTGACCCCTGAACTACAGTGCTATGATAATGACCCCTGTTTCCTGAATCAAGACCTTCAGTACTAAACTACCACCCTGACATAGGGGAACAGTTCCAATATGGACCAACCTGCCAAGTAGATCTACAACAGCCTTGTTATCAGTTTACCAGGTGAGGTACAGTCAAATAGATTTTCACATAAATCAGAGAAAACAATTTCTACTCTTACCTATCTATTCAGTACAATAAACATCTTCAAAATCTTTCATTAAGTACAGTAAATAAGTGCCAGACTAGCCTAGTAAACACCAGTAGTTGACAGCCGCATCAAGTGACCTGTCTGTGCACACATCTTATGTTACAATGGTAAACATATAGAATGGGTGGGCAATGTAATCTTAAATACCAACAGTAACTCATTTACTTCTTAATTCAAATTCCATGGTAGTAAGAGTCTAGGACCAATGGAACTTTGTTAAATAACAGTACCTAGGAATTCATCGATTACCTGTTAGGTGTTTGAAGCTCATTAGTATGCATGACCAGTATCATTTTTTCAGGGTTTGCTGTATAAATCTTCATTTGTTCATATTTCGGTCTTGTTTCATTAAATTTGAATGTTAATCTAAATTCTGTTGACCTGTCAGCATTGTCCTTGTCTCTGTGTCTGACCACCTTATACACTGTGTGTCAAATCACCAACTCCATTATGACCTTTTTGTAATTCTGTTTACACTAATGGCATCTTGACACAGCATCTTTTAATATGATATATATTTCTGATCAGAACACTCCATTCTGTGAGCATAATTTTCTTTTGAATGGTACAAATATTACATTTCAGTACCAAACAAGAACAACAAAATCGAATAAAACCTGGTTGTTATATATTACACAGTTATATATTACACAGTTATATATTACACAGAGTAATAAGATTTACTGGTGGTTATATATTACACAAAGTAATAAGATTTACTGGTGGTTATATATTACACAAAGTAATAAGATTTACTGGTGGTTATATATTACACAAAGTAATAAGATTGACTGGTGGTTATATATTACACAGAGTAATAAGATTTACTGGTGGTTATATATTACACAGAGTAATAAGATTTACTGGTGGTTATATATTACACAGAGTAATAAGATTTACTGGTGGTTATATATTACACAGAGTAATAAGATTTACTGGTGGTTATATATTACAGAGTAATAAGATTTAACAGGTTGTTATATATTACACAAAGTAATAAGATTTACTGGAGGTTATATATTACACAGAGTAATAAGATTTACTGGTGGTTATATATTACAGAGTAATAAGATTTACTGGCGGTTATATATTACACAGTGTAATAAGATTTACTGGTGGTTATATATTACACAGAGTAATAAGATTTACTGGTGGTTATATATTACACAGTGTAATAAGATTTACTGGTGGTTATATATTACACAAGTAATAAGATTTACTGGTGGTTATATATTACACAGTGTAATAAGATTTACTGGTGGTTATATATTACACAGTGTAATAAGATTTACTGGTGGTTATATATTACACAGTGTAATAAGATTTAACTGGTGGTTATATATTACACAGTTATATATTACACAGAGTAATAAGATTTACTGGTGGTTATATATTACACAAAGTAATAAGATTTACTGGTGGTTATATATTACACAGTTATATATTACACAGAGTAATAAGATTTAACTGGTGGTTATATATTACACAGAGTAATAAGATTTACTGGTGGTTATATATTACACAAAGTAATAAGATTTACTGGTGGTTATATATTACACAAAGTAATAAGATTTACTGGTGGTTGTATATTACACAGAGTAATAAGATTTACTGGTGGTTATATATTACACAAAGTAATAAGATTTACTGGTGGTTATATATTACAGAGTAATAAGATTTACTGGTGGTTATATATTACAGAGTAATAAGATTTACTGGTGGTTATATATTACACAAAGTAATAAGATTTACTGGTGGTTATATATTACAGAGTAATAAGATTTAACAGGTTGTTATATATTACACAAAGTAATAAGATTTACTGGTGGTTATATATTACACAGAGTAATAAGATTTACTGGTAGTTATATATTACACAAAGTAATAAGATTTAACTGGTGGTTATATATTACACAGAGTAATAAGATTTACTGGTGGTTATATATTACACAGTGTAATAAGATTTACTGGTGGTTATATATTACATAGAGTAATAAGATTTACTGGTGGTTATATATTACACAGAGTAATAAGATTTACTGGTGGTTATATATTACACAGAGTAATAAGATTTACTGATGGTTATATATTACACAGTGTAATAAGATTTACTGGTGGTTATATATTACACAGAGTAATAAGATTTAATTGTGGTTATATATTTCACAGATTTATAATTATTAACAGGTTGTTATATATTACACAAAGTAATAAGATTTACTGGTGGTTATATATTACACAGTTATATATTACACAGAGTAATAAGATTGACTGGTGGTTATATATTACAGAGTAATAAGATTTAACAGGTTGTTATATATTACACAGAGTAATAAGATTTACTGGTGGTTATATATTACACAAAGTAATAATAAGTTATATATTACTGGTGGTTATATATTACACAGAGTAATAAGATTTACTGGTGGTTATATTACAGAGTAATAAGATTTACTGGTGGTTATATATTACACAGAGTAATAAGATTTACTGGTGGTTATATATTACACAAAGTAATAAGATTTACTGGTGGTTATATATTACACAAAGTAATAAGATTTACTGGTGGTTATATATTACACAGAGTGATAAGATTTAACTGATGGTTATATATTACATAGGGTAGTAAGACTTACCTTGTGGCTATACATTCCCCAGGGTAATTTGTGCTCATGAAACACAAAGCAAACGCTCCTTCCTAAACAGAAAAATGACCAGAAACATCAGAGACATGCACAGCTTTAGTCTTTTAGTCTCGCAATGTCTTATTTGATAGTGTTATACAGTCTATTATTGTCTTCAGTCCTAAACACTTCACATAAGATATAACACCAGTGTTGGTGTAACATGGTTTCCATTCAACAAGTGGAATCATTTTAACTATAATCCAACGATAGATTATTGATACTTCAACTTCATTCCATACAAGGTTTAAGTGACCTTGGTGTAATGAAATACAGTAAGTTCTATATCCAAAGGAAGTACTGACCAGTTGTGTTTAAAAATTGATCTTGAACAATAAGTTAATTCTATATCCTGAAAATTTATAATGACCAAATATATTTAATGATTGACCTTGACACAAAAAATAATTCCTATGTCCAGAATATACTGACCAGTTGCTGTATGGCCATTTCCACACACTCACGAAAGGTCAGGCTCTCTGCCTTGTGATTGTTGAAGACATGTTGTGCAAGCTTGGCAATAACTTCTGTATCTGTGTCAGACTCGAACTCAAAACCTTTTGATTGCTGCCAACAGAAACAAGCCATCAGTCACACTGATATATAGTGTAAACATTTTTTGATAATTTCTAATATCTTAGTTAATTTATGAACAGAATACAGGTTACTTATACCGTGTAAGATTCAGAAAAATGTCAGCATAAATTATACAGATGAAGTGAAAGGCATCAGAACACCTTACCAGGAATGATTTGACATCTTTGTAGTTTGTGATGATACCATTGTGTACAACAACAAATTCTGCAATAAAAAACAAAAAATACATTATATCTCATAAATATATACAGTATTTATTTTTTTGTTTTCTTAAATAAATTTTTATTCCATTAAGTAAATTTTAGCATGAGATAATTCAAACAGAAATATTCTATCACCACAAACAACCATGTGGCCTTGACACCACCAATAACCATGTGGTCTTGACACCACAAACAACCATGTGGCCTTGACACTACAAACAACCATGTGGCCTTGACACCACAAACAACCATGTGGCCTTGACACCACAAACAACCATGTGGTCATGGCACCACCAATAACCATGTGGCCTTGACACCACAAACAACCATGTGGCCTTGACACTACAAACAACCATGTGGCCTTGACACCACAAACAACCATGTGGCCTTGACACCACAAACAACCATGTGGCCTTGACACCACAAACAACCATGTGATCTTGACACCACAAACAACCATGTGGTCATGGCACCACAAACAACCATGTGGCCTTGACACTACAAACAAACATGTGGCCTTGACCCTACCAACAAACACATGGTCTTGTCACCACAAACAAACATGTGGCCTTGACACTACCAACAAACACATGGTCTTGTCACCACAAACAAACATGTGGCCTTGACACTACAAACAACCATGTGGCCTTGACACCACAAACAAACATGTGGCCTTGACACTACAAACAAACACGTGGTCTTGACACCACAAACAACCATGTGGCCTTGACACTACAAACAAACATGTGGCCTTGACACTACCAACAAACACGTGGCCTTGACACTACCAACAAACATGTGGTCTTGTCACCACAAACAAACATGTGGCCTTGACACTACCAACAAACATGTGGTCTTGTCACCACAAATAAACACATGGTCTTGACATTACAAATACATCACTATGTTTAATCCAAGGCATATCAGGTGCTCTCTAGATGTTTTTCAGCTTTGTCATGCCAAATAAAAACTTCCAATTTATGCTTAGTTAATATTCCAATCCTGGTGCTTATTATGGGGTTTGCTTTCATCAGGTAGCAGTATTATAGCAGCTTACATGCCTGTTGTGCAGTAAGGCATTAAGAAGGGAAATCTTATCCTAGTGTACATATAATCATCAGGTAAAAAAACCCATTCTTATTCCAATAAAGAGAAGCATATTTCTGAGAAAATTGCAGGATTATGACCTTCATCCGTAACAGATTTGAGAAGATAACTTGTTCTATGATCAAAGCAACACATGATTCACCCTCCTTCAGTTTCAACTTTTATAAAGTTTTTAAGATATTTTATTGAATGAATTCACAATAAGTTTATATCCTGAAGTCAGATTTTAAAAGAAACATTTTTTCAGACATAAGAAGGTACTGCATATCCTGTTAGTGAGATTCTAAGCTATCACAGTAAACAAGATCCTCGCATTATATCTACATGACTAACATCAGAGCAGAGCACAGTCCGATTAGTGCATACTATTTCATATTTCTCCGTTTAATGGACAAATAACACCGTAAGATTCCAAACTGCATCACGAGAGCTGATCCCACTTATTCAACAAAATAAGTTTTACACTCTGACCTAATTAGAATATTTACCTGGGTATGAAAGATTTTTCTACAGCCTGACATTGGTTATAAGAAATGTTTACAGCCTGACATTAGTTATAAGAAATGTTTACAGCCTGACATTGGTTATAAGAAATGTTTACAGCCTGACATTAGTTATAAGAAATGTTTACAGCCTGACATTGGTTATAAGAAATGTTTACAGCCTGACATTAGTTATAAGAAATGTTTACAGCCTGACATTGGTTATAAGAGATGTTTACAGCCTTACATTAGTTATAAGAAATGTTTACAGCCTGAAATTGGTTATAAGAGATGTTTACAGCCTTACATTAGTTATAAGAAATGTTTACAGCCTGAAATTGGTTATAAGAGATGTTTACAGCCTGACATTGGTTATAAGAGATGTTTACAGCCTGACATTAGTTATAAGAAATGTTTACATCCTGACATTGGTTATAAGAAATGTTTACATCCTGACATTAGTTATAAGAAATGTTTACATCCTGACATTAGTTATAAGAAATGTTTACATCCTGACACTGGTTATAAGAAATGTTTACATCCTGACATTAGTTATAAGAAATGTTTACAGCCTGACATTAGTTATAAGAGATGTTTACAGCCTGAAATTGGTTACAAGAGATGTTTACAGCCTGACATTGGTTATAAGAGATGTTTACAGCCTGACATTAGTTATAAGAGATGTTTACAGCCTGACATTAGTTGTAAGAGATGTTTACAGCCTGACATTAGTTATAAGAAATGTTTACATCCTGACATTGGTTATAAGAAATGTTTACATCCTGACATTAGTTATAAGAAATGTTTACATCCTGACATTAGTTATAAGAAATGTTTACATCCTGACACTGGTTATAAGAAATGTTTACATCCTGACATTAGTTATAAGAAATGTTTACATCCTGACATTAGTTATAAGAAATGTTTACATCCTGACACTGGTTATAAGAGATGTTTACATCCTGACATTAGTTATAAGAAATGTTTACATCCTGACATTAGTTATAAGAAATGTTTACATCCTGACATTAGTTATAAGAAATGTTTACATCCTGACACTGGTTATAAGAGATGTTTACATCCTGACATTAGTTAAAAGAAATGATAACATCCTGACATTAGTTATAAGAAATGTTTACATCCTGACACTGGTTATAAGAGATGTTTACAGCCTGACATTAGTTATAAGAAATGTTTACAGCCTGACATTAGTTATAAGAGATGTTTACAGCCTGACATTAGTTATAAGAAATGTTTACATCCTGACATTGGTTATAAGAGATGTTTACATCCTGACATTAGTTATAAGAGATGTTTACATCCTGACATTGGTTATAAGAAATGTTTACATCCTGACATTGGTTATAAGAGATGTTTACATCCTGACATTGGTTATAAGAAATGTTTACATCCTGACATTAGTTATAAGAAATGTTTACATCCTGACATTGGTTATAAGAGATGTTTACATCCTGACATTAGTTATAAGAAATGTTTACAGCCTGACATTAGTTATAAGAGATGTTTACAGCCTGACATTAGTTATAAGAAATGTTTACATCCTGACATTAGTTATAAGAAATGTTTACATCCTGACACTGGTTATAAGAGATGTTTACAGCCTGACATTAGTTATAAGAAATGTTTACATCCTGACATTAGTTATAAGAAATGTTTACATCCTGACATTGGTTATAAGAGATGTTTACAGCCTGACATTAGTTATAAGAAATGTTTACATCCTGACATTAGTTATAAGAAATGTTTACATCCTGACATTAGTTATAAGAAATGTTTACATCCTGACACTGGTTATAAGAGATGTTTACAGCCTGACATTAGTTATAAGATATTTACAGTCTGACCTGGGTATGAAGAAAGTTGGCTTTACAGTATACTTGTGAAAAACTTCTGACTGACCAATCACATGATCACAGCAAAATCACATGAAATTTTCTTAGAAGAAAATGACCATGTAATGAATATAAGAAGGCTAAATATACCGAAAATCACACTATCCTGATTTGAGATATTCTGTATCAACAAATACACAGAAAACCAAGAACAAGGCTACAGTACATTAAAGTCACTGTTGTGTTATACAAGGATACAGTACATTATAGTGACTGTTGTGTTATACAAGGATACAGTACATTATAGTGACTGTTGTGTTATACAAGGATACAGTACATTATAGTGACTGTTGTGTTATACAAGGATACAGTACATTATAGTGACTGTTGTGTTATACAAGGATACAGTACATTATAGTGACTGTTGTGTTATACAAGGATACAGTACATTATAGTGACTGTTGTGTTATACAAGGATACAGTACATTATAGTGACTGTTGTGTTATACAAGGATACAGTACATTATAGTGACTGTTGTGTTATACAAGGATACAGTACATTAAAGTCACTGTTGTGTTATACAAGGATACAGTACATTATAGTGACTGTTGTGTTATATAAGGATACAGTACATTATAGTCACTGTTGTGTTATACAAGGATACAGTACATTATAGTGACTGTTGTGTTATACAAGGATACAGCACATTAAAGTCACTGTTGTGTTATACAAGGATACAGTACATTAAAGTCACTGTTGTGTTATACAAGGATACAGTACATTATAGTGACTGTTGTGTTATATAAGGATACAGTACATTATAGAGAAGTCACAGTTGTGTTATACAAGGATACAGTACATTATAGTGACTGTTGTGTTATACAAGGATACAGTACATTAAAGTCACTGTTGTGTTATACAAGGATACAGTACATTATAGTCACTGTTGTGTTATACAAGGATACAGTACATTATAGTGACTGTTGTGTTATACAAGGATACAGTACATTAAAGTCACTGTTGTGTTATACAAGGATACAGTACATTAAAGTCACTGTTGTGTTATACAAGGATACAGCACATTAAAGTCACTGTTGTGTTATACAAGGATACAGTACATTATAGAGAAGTCACAGTTGTGTTATACAAGGATACAGTACATTATAGTGACTGTTGTGTTATACAAGGATACAGTACATTAAAGTCACTGTTGTGTTATACAAGGATACAGTACATTAAAGTCACTGTTGTGTTATACAAGGATACAGTACATTAAAGTCACTGTTGTGTTATACAAGGATACAGTACATTAAAGTCACTGTTGTGTTATACAAGGATACAGTACATTATAGTGACTGTTGTGTTATACAAGGATACAGTACATTAAAGTCACTGTTGTGTTATACAAGGATACAGTACATTATAGTGACTGTTGTGTTATACAAGGATACAGTACATTAAAGTCACTGTTGTGTTATACAAGGATACAGTACATTAAAGTCACTGTTGTGTTATACAAGGATACAGTACATTATAGTGACTGTTGTGTTATACAAGGATACAGCACATTAAAGTCACATTAAAGTCACTGTTGTGTTATACAAGGATACAGTACATTAAAGAGAAGTCACAGTTGTGTTATACAAGGATACAGTACATTAAAGTCACTGTTGTGTTATACAAGGATACAGTACATTATAGTGACTGTTGTGTTATACAAGGATACAGTACATTAAAGTCACTGTTGTGTTATACAAGGATACAGTACATTATAGTGACTGTTGTGTTATACAAGGATACAGTACATTAAAGTCACTGTTGTGTTATACAAGGATACAGTACATTAAAGTCACTGTTGTGTTATACAAGGATACAGTACATTATAGTGACTGTTGTGTTATACAAGGATACAGTACATTATATGGTCACATGGTGCTCACCGTTGTCTGCATTGGACCGCTGTGGATGACTATTGACACAACTTGGTTCCCCATGAGTGGCCCATCGTGTGTGAGCAATACCAATATGGATGTTATATGCCCGATCAAACTTCAGGTCAGAACAGGCTATGAAAACAAAAGGTAGACAATGCAGTAGGATACAGAAATGTGACAATATGTCGGACTTCCTGTAATACAATCAATATAACATGGTGTACCAGATACATAAAATATTTCTCCAAGGAAGCAATGGAACGTGACTAATTGGCAATACCAGTGAACCTGATTATTTTCCACCTCTTCCCACAGATATACCACCTTGTCTTTCTGTTAAATACTGGCTTTCCACCTCTTCCCACACATATACAACCTTGTCTTTCTGTTAAATACTGGCTTTCCACCTCTTCCCACACATATACCACCTTGTCTTTCTGTTAAATACTGGCTTTCCACCTCTTCCCAGATATACCACCTTGTCTTTCTGTTAAATACTGGCTTTCCACCTCTTCCCACACATATACAACCTTGTCTTTCTGTTAAATACTGGCTTTCCACCTCTTCCCACACATATACCACCTTGTCTTTCTGTTAAATACTGGCTTTCCACCTCTTCCCAGATATACCACCTTGTCTTTCTGTTAAATACTGGCTTTCCACCTCTTCCCAGATATACCACCTTGTCTTTCTGTTAAATACTGGCTTTCCACCTCTTCCCAGATATACCACCTTGTCTTTCTGTTAAATACTAGCTCTCAACCCCCCCAACAGATATACAACCTTGTCTTTCTGTTAAATACTGGCTTTCCACCTCTTCCCAGATATACCACCTTGTCTTTCTGTTAAATACTGGCTTTCCACCTCTTCCCAGATATACCACCTTGTCTTTCTGTTAAATACTAGCTCTCAACCCCCCCAACAGATATACAACCTTGTCTTTCTGTTAAATACTGGCTTTCCACCTCTTCCCAGATATACCACCTTGTCTTTCTGTTAAATACTAGCTCTCAACCCCCCCAACAGATATACCACCTTGTCTTTCTGTTAAATACTGGCTTTCAACCTCTTCCCACAGATATACCACCTTGTCTTTCTGTTAAATACTGGCTTTCCACCTCTTCCCAGATATACCACCTTGTCTTTCTGTTAAATACTAGCTCTCAACCCCCCCAACAGATATACAACCTTGTCTTTCTGTTAAATACTGGCTTTCCACCTCTTCCCAGATATACCACCTTGTCTTTCTGTTAAATACTAGCTCTCAACCCCCCCAACAGATATACCACCTTGTCTTTCTGTTAAATACTGGCTTTCCACCTCTTCCCACACATATACCACCTTGTCTTTCTGTTAAATACTGGCTTTCCACCTCTTCCCAGATATACCACCTTGTCTTTCTGTTAAATACTAGCTCTCAACCCCCCCAACAGATATACAACCTTGTCTCATTGTTAAATACTGACTTTCCACCTCCTCCAACAGATATACAACCTTAATTTCCTGTTAAAGTTATTCAACCTGGTTAAATACTTATTTTCTGGGTTTTTGTCCTTCTGGAGTACATAAACTTTGTCCCTCATTTTTATACTCTTTTTCCAGCGACTCACATTTGTGCCTTAACTTTGTCCCTCTGTGTTATACATACATGCTTTCCATATCATCTTGAGTGCCTTAACATTCCCTGTGTGATCATACTTACTTTCCACCTCCACCAGCATGTATTAACTTTTATCTCTGTGTGATCATACTTACTTTCCACCTCCACCAGCATGTATTAACTTTTATCTCTGTGTGATCATACTTACTTTCCACATCCACCAGCATGTATTAACTTTTATCTCTGTGTGATCATACTTACTTTCCACATCCACCAGCATGCAGTAACTTTATCTCTGTGTTATCATACTTATATTCCACATCCACCAGCATGTATTAACTTTATCTCTGTGTGATCATATTTACTTTCCACCTCCACCAGCATGTATTAACTTTATCTCTGTGTGAGCATACTTACTTTCCACCTCCTGTTGCAGTGCCTTAACTTTTCCCTTTTGTTTTATCATACGAATCACACATTTTTCATCTCCGCAGTCACTTCCTTCAAAAGCAACTCCTGAAAACAAAGGAAATATTGTCCATAAACCACACTTATCATACACAGTATATGTTTTACTTTTCTTTGAGTGGTTGTTTATTTACCTGTAATCACAGGTATAGAAACAATAAATAGATCTGTCTTACCTGTGATCACATGTAAATAAACAAGAGACCAAATGGGCCTGCAGAACTCATGTCGTATATATATATATTTAAGGATTGTCTTTGATTTTTCTTTGTTTATGAGGTAATGACTCCAGTAAAGCACACGGTAAATTGCATGAACTCAAAGCGTTTATGTGTAAATTTACCGCGTGATCTACTGGATTTCTTACCTCATAAACAACGAAAAATCAAAGATAATCCTTTTATTTCAATTTTTACTTTCAAAAACAATCCAGTTAAACACTTTCAGTTTCGCCATTTCCAAGTAGTTAAAAACATAAATGAAAGTGACATTCCATTCCGTTGAATTCTGGGAACGGCTGCTAAGACACCTAGACTCCGCCCACTTTTTTCTCCTTGGAAAATTTCGTCGATTTCCACTATTTTATTCATGTTTTCTGAAGGAAATCGGTCATTCAAATGGAATAGTTTGTGTGTAGTAATTTTATCTACAGAACTTTTATCTAAAACAAAAGATAATCATGTTCAATAATTACTATAGCAACACAACATTCATTGAGATGCGGAAGTCAGTCATGATGCAGCTTAGCCGACGAGGCTGGAAGTGAAACTGAACACGTTACATGTTAATGTTAAATGTGCAATTTTCAAACCTGGAGTTTGTGAGCATTCCCGACGTTGATTGCACATTTGAAGAGAGAAATGACGGTACAATGTCTGATGCTTACAAAGTTGATAAAAAATCGCTTAAATCATCATCAAAATCAAAATCGGTAAGATCCCTATTTTCTTTGTCATCCAGTAACGAGAGATTCGTTAACAAGAGGTTAAAATTCCCAAATCCACTTGTGTGTAAATGTATTCCTACGCCAATATTGTTATGTCATCGTCTAGCACAATCTGGACTAAATTTATTAGAGTATAAATACAGTCGATATTCTTATGTTTTATTAGGGGGAAAACACAGCAATTGTAAATGAATATTTATATATACACACACCAGCCAAATATCATGTATCTAGGCCTTTAAGTTCATGAACAGAAGTTGTTCAAAAGTTGTAACAAATCTGACCCCTGTGACCTTAAATATAGGTAAATGTAATTTCTGTTCACAAACTTTGTTGTGCTATATCCTGAAAGCATACCAGCCAAATATAAAAACATTTCGTCCATTGGTTATTGAGAAGAAGTTGATTAAATGAAAAAGTTGACGACGGACAACAAACCATGGCATAAGTTCATAATGGCCCTTCAGACCAGGTGAGCTAACAATAAGCAGATCTGTGTTACCTGTGATCACAGGTATTAAAACCATAAATAGATCCAGGGCTCTCGATCTGCCAATTTGGGGCCAATATTCGGCCCCATTCCCAATGCAAAATAGTATCTTTTTTTCCCAATTTAGACCTCAAGTTCTCCCAATTTTAAGGAAAACACCATTATTTTTCCCAATTCTAAGGGCCCCGGGCCCCAGTCCCAAAATGAAGTGTGAGAGCCCTGAGATCTATCTCTCCAGTGATCACAGGAAACATCGCACTCATGAGCACAAGTGCACAAGTTAAAAATTGTAAGAATATATGTCTCACCTGTGATCACAGGGATATAAAAAATAAAAAGATCTGTATGTCTTACCTGTGATCACAGGGATATAAAAAATAAAAAGGTCTGTATGTCTTACCTGTGACCACAGGGATATAAAAAATAAAAAGGTCTGTATGTCTTACCTGTGATCACAGGGATATAAAAAATAAAAAGGTCTGTATGTCTTACCTGTGATCACAGGGATATAAAAAATAAAAAGATCTGTATGTCTTACCTGTGATCACAGGGATATAAAAAATAAAAAGGTCTGTATGTCTTACCTGTGATCACAGGGATATAAAAAATAAAAAGGTCTGTATGTCTTACCTGTGACCACAGGGATATAAAAAATAAAAAGGTCTGTATGTCTTACCTGTGATCACAGGGATATAAAAAATAAAAAGGTCTGTATGTCTTACCTGCAGAGTCGTATCCTCTGTATTCTAACCGTTTTAATCCATTGATCAGGATTTCTAATATTTCCTTCCTAGTGACAGGAACAAGATAGTTCAGGTACCCAAATATTCCTGTCAAAGAAACAGGAGATAAATATACCATTACAGTCACTAACAACTGAAATTAAATTACAATCACCAACAATTAAAATTAAATTACAGTCACTGACAATTAAAATTAAATTACAGTCACTGACGAATTGCAGTCACTAACCAGTAAATTTTAATAATACGTTACTACAAAATAAAATTTGATGACAGTGCAAAGATGATAAATCCAGTACTTCTCCAGATATAAAGATACCCAGACTATTTTGAAGACAAACAAATGGAAGACAGCAAACAGGTGAAGGGCAAATTTGAACAGCTTACAAAACTCTAATATTGCATGTCTGCATCTGATTGTCTTTGATGTGCTAAAATCTCAATGGACAAAAATTAAAAGAAAAAAAGTGAAGATCCACATAATTTTCAGAAGAATGTTCAATGAATCATAAAGTCTTTGAAGACATTTTCTTCAAATCTTATTTGAATTCAGCAATTTAAAACTTCCATCTTGGATCACAATTATATTCAGCAATACTACAAATAACATTTCCTGTTTAACAATCTACAGATGAACTTACCAACCATCACTGAAGTTTAAGTCTTCATCTGATATAACTTTCCATATTGATATTCAGCCACACTGTCAAATCCCCTCTAATATTATATAATATCTAGACCTTCGATAAACCTAAGCCAGATTGATCACCGGTGTATGGTCTCAAGCTATAGTTACGTCCAAGACAAAACCTGCTCTAACTAGGAAGTAAAATTAGTAGCTCTAGAAAAAAACTCATACAGCATAATCAGTCACCGTGCTTAACAGACACACAATGAGATCTAGAACAAACATATTCTACCAGTACACCTCGCCCAATTCATGGTTGATAAATATTCTTTGAAAAGCTTCACATCTGAATTAAATACTCTTTTCTAGAATTTTGTAAATAGATCTGTTTTTACTGAAGAGAGTTTATAGTATATCAAGCTTGAAAATATTCTTCAATTTATTTTCAAAAGGCAGGCTATTCAATGACAGGCATACAGGATCATACAAGTGAAACCATTCTGCATAACACAAAACTGGTGAATTTTGATCACTGATCCAAAAAAAAATATCACATCAACATACTGTGGGTAGGAGAAACACACCCTGGGACATGTCACATCAACATACTGTGGGTAGGAGAAACACACCCTGGGATATGTCACATCAACATACTGTGGGTAGGAGGAACACACCTGCGTTATCAGAACATCCAATATCCATCATTCACTCCTATAGTTGAGATTCAGACCAAAAGTCTTGGCAAGATTAGTTTTGAAACTTAAGTCTTGACTGACTGTGGCATATCATATGAACTGAACTTTTTAATATGTTTTTCACAGCCTCTGCTAAATTATCTGTTAAATATGTTTTTATTTACAAGGTATGTTAATGGATTATTTTTTGTCCTTTCATCCTGTCTATATTTACATACAAGGTAGCATTACTAATGTTTTAGTGATTACTAAGGAAAAACTCTCAAGGATATCCAAAACAGACATGCATTAAATAAGCTAACATACAAAAGGTGCAAATTGCCCAATTTAAATATTCTAGGTAAAATTCAGCACATGTCAGTGTGATTGGGCTTTACAGTACCAAAATTGTATATTGAAACTTCATGTGCACTACCCTGTGCAACTAAATAACACGGGTTGATTACAAATTCACAGTATAGAATTCCAATACTATTGCCAATCTACTACAAAAGTAAAGGATTCAGGTCTGTGAGTGACGTTACCATATAGTACTATTAGACTGATCCTGTCAGCTACTTAAGCAAACTTTTCTATTATGTATGAGCTGTAGTATAATTGGACATCCCTGAATGGCTTTACAATGCCAACAGATATGTGAGGGTTTTAGACCAGATCACAAAAGGTATGCTAATCTGGTAAATGTAGGACATTGTTTAATTCAGTTGATTCCATAATATATTTACAAATCCCACTAATATTTAGCATTCACATCCTGTTCTGAGTGTTTGTGAAAATTCAATGCTTTCTAAAATTTGAAACTGAGCATGGATATATGAAAATAAAATAATTTCTCTATCTTGAAACAAATATTTTGATCAAAACTGAAAAACTATTCTATTAGTATATATATAACATTGTATTTCAGTGACACTTGGACACAATGTTGAAATGTTACCATATAGTAAAGCTTTCCTGAAACCCAGTACTCAGTAAAGCTTTCCTAAAACCCAGTACTTAGTAAAGCTTTCCTCAAACCCTGTACTCAGTAAAGCTTTCCTAAAACCCTGTACTCAGTAAAGTTTTCATGAAACAGTGTACTCAGTAAAGCTTTCCTAAAACCCAGTACTAAGTAAAGTTTTCATGAAACAGTGTACTCAGTAAAGCTTTCCTCAAACCCTGTACTCAGTAAAGCTTTCCTAAAACCCTGTACTCAGTAAAGCTTTCCTGAAACCCTGTACTCAGTAAACCCTGTACTCAGTAAAGTTTTCCTAAAACCCAGTACTCAGTAAAGCTTTCCTAAAACCCAGTACTCAGTAAAGCTTTCCTAAAACCCAGTACTCAGTAAAGCTTTCCTAAAACCCTGTACTCAGTAAAGCATTCCTAAAACCCTGTACTCAGTAAAGTTTTCAAGAAACAGTGTACTCAGTAAAGCTTTCCTCAAACCCAGTACTCAGTAAAGCTTTCCTCAAACCCTGTACTCAGTAAAGCTTTCCTAAAACCCTGTACTCAGTAAAGCTTTCCTAAAACCCCTAAAACCCTGTACTCAGTAAAGCTTTCCTAAAACCCAGTACTCAGTAAAGCTTTCCTCAAACCCTGTACTCAGTAAAGCTTTCCTAAAACCCAGTACTCAGTAAAGCTTTCCTCAAACCCTGTACTCAGTAAAGCTTTCCTAAAACCCTGTACTCAGTAAAGCTTTCCTAAAACCCAGTACTCAGTAAAGCTTTCCTGAAACCCAGTACTCAGTAAAGTTTTCCTGAAACCCTGTACTCAGTAAAGCTTTCCTGAAACCCTGTACTCAGTAAAGCTTTCCTGAAACCCTGTACTCAGTGAAGCTTTCCTAAAACCCAGTACTCAGTAAAGCTTTCCTGAAACCCTGTACTCAGTAAAGCTTTCCTAAAACCCAGTACTCAGTAAAGCATTCCTAAAACCCAGTACTCAGTAAAGTTTTCCTAAAACCCAGTACTCAGTAAAGCTTTCCTCAAACCCTGTACTCAGTAAAGCTTTCCTCAAACCCTGTACTCAGTAAAGCATTCCTAAAACCCAGTACTCAGTAAAGCATTCCTAAAACCCTGTACTCAGTAAAGCTTTCCTAAAACCCTGTACTCAGTAAAGCTTTCCTAAAACCCAGTACTCAGTAAAGCTTTCCTAAAACCCAGTACTCAGTAAAGCTTTCCTAAAACCCAGTACTCAGTAAAGCTTTCCTAAAACCCAGTACTCAGTAAAGCTTTCCTAAAACCCTGTACTCAGTAAAGCTTTCCTCAAACCCTGTACTCAGTAAAGCTTTCCTCAAACCCAGTACTCAGTAAAGCTTTCCTCAAACCCTGTACTCAGTAAAGCTTTCCTCAAACCCTGGTAACAGTCATGAAAATATTGAACAGTTAATCTATCAACTTGTAACATTTAGTATTAAACAGAATACAAAGTTTCACCAGACCATGTCAACTGAACTACAGAATCAAACAATTTGTGGCAGATGAAATTTTAGATCAATGTTGTCATGTTTGCCATTAACATCTGGTGTGGGATATCTCTTGAGTCCTACACATAAAGTGTGTGACAGCTGGCATGACAACATATCCCCAACAATTAGTTCTCTCAATCACTCCAACCCATCTATCAGAAAAAAATCAATTAAATCCTCACACAGAGAAGACATGAATTAATCATTACAAACATTCTTATAGCATAGAATTTGATGAACCCTTCTGGAGATTCTGATTAAAAGAAATGTGAGATAAAAGCATAGTGTCTGGTCTAGTAGCCTCCCCTTGCTGCTTTCTTCACCAATGAGATGTAATAATAAGCTGGAATCATGTTCCCCAATAAACTAATACTAAGAAGTAATTTATCATAGCCTGAATGTGTTAACAACAAATTCAACTACAGCCAAACTTTGTTATATCCAAGTCGTCAAGGTGTTGAATAAAGTTTGAGGCTTGCTACAAATGTTACTGAAATGTCCAAGACTAGCTACAAATGTTACTGAAATGACTGGCTACAAATGTTACTGAAATGACTGGCTACAAATGTTACTGAAATGTCCATGCCCAGCTACAAATGTTACTGAAATGTCCATGCCTAGCTACAAATGTTACTGGAATCTCCATGCCTAGCTACAAATGTTACTAAAATGTCCATGCCTAGCTACAAATGTTACTGAAATCTCCATACCTAGCTACAAATGTTACTAAAGTATCCCATGCTAAAAGCAGTTTTAAGTATTACATATCCTAGGCTAGCTTCAGTTGTTGTAAAACTGTCAATGTTAAGGTTAGTTATAGAGAGATTAATCAAATTAATAACGTTATGGAAAACACCAGCAATGACTTTAGTTCACTACACAAGTGTGAATTTCCTATATAGGTATATGTGTGTGCCTTGATAATACTGTTTACACAAAACAAATGTGCAACAAAACCAAGCAATCAATATTAACGTATGATCTTTATCTAGGACTGACCAGGAAGTTCACTGTGGGTTGATACCGTTAATACCATTGATACATGTACAGATGGCTTCTTATCAAAACCCTATAGTTACCTCCCTTTTCTGTCAGTCAACAGAAGTAACTATCACCAATACAAGTACATTACAAATGCTTTGATGTGATCACTTAAACAGAACCAAAGTCTGTTGTAAATATTATGTATTGATGTGGTCACTGAAACAGAACCAAAGTCTGTTGTAAATATTATGTATTGATGTGGTCACTAAAACAGAACCAAAGTCTGTTGTAAACATTATGTATTGATGTGGTCACTGAAACAGAACCAAAGTCTGTT